GCTGGCCATGGCAGGGCAGCCCGGTCTGTCCTCTCGGACACCCGAGGCATGATGTCCCCTTCTCTTCCCCAGAGACGGAGTGGAGGAAGCGGATGGCCTCCAAGAGAGGGGAGGAGGAGGAAGAGGACCTCACGGAGGAGATGAAGAACCTGCGGGAGCTGCAGAGGCAGGAGCTGAGCAAGGTGCAGGGCAGACCCGGTGGGGCGGACGGTCTCGGTGCGATGGGCTAGGGACGTCCTGGCACTGATCCCCACGCTCCTTTGCCCCCAGGTCACCTCCAACCTTGGGAAGCTGATCCTGAAGGAGGAGATGGAGAAATCTCTCCCCATCCGGAGGAAAACCCCCATACTTGCCTTTCACTGCTACTTCTACAAACGACATATCTATAAATATATATAAATATGGATTGTTTTCTGATTTGAATACAGTGATTCACTTTCTCTGTTTTGTTAGATTTTATTTTATTTGCTGGTGTCAGAGAATTCCGTGTGAGAGTGATTTTTGCTTATAATTAAAGGTGAAATGGCTTTATTCCGCCTGGCTCCCGGCGCTTTGCTTTCCTCGCTGCACTCCCGGGAGCCCTGCTTTTTCTACTTTCCAGGCCTGCAGGTAAGCACTCGCCTGGCTGCCGGCGCAGAGACCCAGTGAGAGGGTGACGTATGCCAGGGTCGGGAGTGGGGTGCACCGGGGCCAGCTGCCAATGGGGTCCGGGGGGCATCGGAGGGACAAAGAAGGGAGAAACTGGGGCAGGGAGAGAGGGATGGCATGCCAGTGCCCGGGCTAGAGCCCATCACCCTGGCTTTGGTTCAGCGGGAGAGAGCAGCCCGTTGCAGAGCTGACGCTAGGCTTTGTCCCTGCAGAACGGCCAGCACGGGCGCATGGACAGAGGCAACTCCCTGCCCAGCATGCTGGAGCAGAAGGTAAGAGGGGCCGGGGGCCTGCTGGGGACCACGAGGGCATGGACGGGGGTGGCAGGATGGAGGGAAGGCAGAGAGGAAGGACTTACAGCCTCCGCCCTCCCCTGGTTTGCAGATCTACCCCTACGAAATGCTGATGGTGACCAACAGAGGCCGTGTGAAACTGCCCCCCGGCGTGGACAGGACCAGGCTAGAGGTAGGGGCCGGGCTGAGGCCGGGG